AGGAAACCAAGTTCTGATATACGCTACATCTCCAATATGTCGAAGATGCACGTCTTTAAATTGTAATACTTACCAAATAATCTGCTTACATTGTGATACACGCCAATATCTTTTCATTAAGTCTGGAAGTACCTACAAAGATGTATTTCATTATGTGTGTTTCAAAGCGACTTTGAGCGAATATTGAGTCTGTAGGTTTCTGGTATTTTTTTTCGACGAATAGATTTCAATTACATCTAAGAAGGCGTTTTGGCAGGAAAATTATTCAAGTTTCTTAAATAAACAAGAACTCTCCTTAAGAGATAATCTGAAATATCCTCGAGATAGCGTAAGTTCTTAACACATGGACATTTCGTTACATCTGTTGTGATAACTCCACCACTCCATCTTTTCCATCTCTCTGATAAAGGTTAATTTTCCATTTTTCCGAATATATTTTTGGCTCCGAAAATGACAAAAAAAATTAACTTTCGATAGTATTCGTAACTTGACAGATATACGTGCCATGTTGGTATAGGAAGCTCAAAATTTGTTTCCCTTTTTCGACCTATTCTTTCTTTTATAAGACTCTCTTAAAATGTTGCTAATATTATCAATTTCATTCTGTATCTTTTAGACTTAATAATATCGAATGTCCTATTTTGTTCAATTTCCTTCAATTTTTTATTCATTAATTTTATGCATTAAGTCAATTTCTTATTTTATATTACAAAAATTCTTAAATTTAAGAATTATAAACTAACAGCCTGTGTATAAGTACCAAATATTCTTTTCATATAACCCAAATTTTTTACTTTTCATTACAAAATTTTCAAATATTTTCTTTTACACAAACCTCCTAACAATTACAATCACAACAAAAAAAAAAAGACCTAGCCCAAGAAGCCGTTCTGAAATGATATGCTTATATATATTAACCAACTGATTTTTATTTAAATATATTTTACTAGAAATAAACGTGGAATTAATTTCGATTTCTTTTAATTTGCTTCTCATGCTCTATCTAGTCTCTAAAATACCCTCAGTCTATTGCGAATTGTGGTCAACCATACAGTTTTCGGGCTCGAAAACTTGTCTTCAACGACAATAATCTAGTGTCAACAATCGAGATCAATGGCTTAACCTGTCCTCCCATCCGAAAACTCACTCGCCCATGCAAGGGTTGATCTGTCTGGGCATTCCTTAGCCCTATTGATACTATTAGATCCCGTCCAACGAGTGTCACTGGACTTAAACTATTCTTTTATTTGTATTGTATCTAATAAATACTATGAAATAATTAATTTAATTAAAATTAATGTTTCAAAACTACAAGAAATACTCGTTATTTCTTGATCATTACCATCATAATATCAGCCGTTAATTGTTCGCTGCTTATCATAGATCTCTACCATAGATTCCCACAAGGAACGGTTCCGTTCTTGTGGGCTACTTGTGTCTACTAACTCTGCATTTGAGGTTGTCGCTCAATCATCATCATTAGGGGGATCATCCTACACTTCGTTTTACTTTACAAGGTTACCACTCTAGAATATTTGTCTCCCATGGGTATTGATGTCAACTGGTAATTCTTACCTATATTATAAATGTGAAAGTGATTGTTTGTTACCTCTCGACGTTAATGATTAAATCAATTATCACAAAATCTGGTATAAATGTACTCGTACTGTTTAAAATAGAAAAGGATATAGAACTGCTATTCATCCCGGTCAATAAACATATTCTGGTCACGCGAACGTAGTCGGGGGTAAAATCTAATTAGTTACTTTGTGACTGTTTACTACACCTTCGCATCGAAAATACCTTCAAGTTGGAAGTCTTCTTGTTGTTAGAAATTCTTTACTTCATAGTGATTACTTACGGAATCAAAACAGTCTTACATAATATATAGTCTACAAAAACTTTACGTATCTCAATACCGTTACAAACCGAAATTCTTACCTGATACCGATACGGAAATGTATAAAATTAACATTTCATTGAAGTTATAAGGAATCATAAGGGAAATAATTAGGTAAACATGTGAGAAATTTAAATTAAATTCAACAATTTAAATACGCGAATTAAACCACAAAAGAGGAGCTAAATTATATACGGGCTTCTCGAACACAAACGATATTACTGTGTACCTCATTTATGATAACGCGACACGGCATACTGCTTCGTCCATGCTGGAACTTTAATGAATCTTTACTATTATTATAAAAGTTATGTGTGTGTTTGTTTGTTAACTCTTGAAGGCTTAGTATATCAACGGATTACCATTAAATTGTCATTAACTAGCGATCCAGCCCGGCTCCGCACTTATAGATAGAATTTTCTAAAATAATATATTGTCTATATTACTCGTCATAATGTAGTTTTCTATAAGTGAAAGAATTTAAAATCGATTAAGCAGTTTTTGAGTTTATACATTACAAATAAACAAATAATCAAATGTTTTCTCTTTATAATATTAGTATAAATAATATCCAGTATTTCGAATAAAGGACATGTAAGCTAACTTTTAACCCGGTAAATAATATATCCCGGTCACATGAACGAATTTGCGGGTAAAAACTGATACTAAAAATACATATAATGTTTTACAGAGCTAGCATAGTTGTGAAAATATTAAAATTATATCATGGAAGTGCCTGTTTACATATTAATTTTGCTCCACACAACCAGTATTTAAAAAGACCACAGCTTCAATCATCGTTAAATTAATATAAGACCAACAAGAGAGTAAACCCTGTTGATTTGCAAAATAAATATAAAAAACGTATCTCATAGTAATTTAAAAGTCAAAAAAATTAAGAACCATTTTCGGAACATTTGAGCTTAAAGAACCGATCAAAATTACTTCTAGATCAATATGGGAGTAAATTTTATCTATAGCAAAAAGATTTACCCTATCATAATGATTAAAGATGTCATACAACATACATATTAAAAATACGGGCGAATGAAGAGCTTGCTCCTTTTTAATTCGTTTAAAATATGCGAGAGCTTGAAGTCCAATAATTTTCTTGCAAAAGTTGGTATTAATTTTCTCTGTAAACCTATTTAGTCCTGGATCTCATTTTAAAGTGCTAAACAGTTATAAAAGATAAACACATTCATTAAAACTCATGATTTAAGAGCATTATAAAGTTAATATAAATTATAGTAAATCCTACTTCTATTATAAATGTGAAAGTTTATAAAGATATTTAATAGCACATGGGTAACACAGTATTACGCCGTGCAATAGCACCCACTCACTAAACTGGATGTGTCAACTCACTTCTTTAAAATGAATTGGCGTTCAGCACAGTACCGGGAAATTATTGGAGAAAAGCAAAATGGGTTCTAGACTTGGAGAAATGTAGATAATATTTGTAAACTGTGTAGACGGTATGTAAATGCAGTATAATGTAGAGTAAGGAAATGGGTTTTTTTTTCATCCTCCATTTTGTAGGACATGGTTAAATATAGGATACAGCAATACAAGTCATCCTCTATGCCACAGCACAATTTGGGAGTAATCCAATGAGCTAGCATAGTGGAATGCGCCTAAATAACTGAGTTGTCGCAAGAAAAATCGTTGAGTTACCCATGTGTAATGTTTAGATGTTTGTTACATAATTCAACTTTGTTACTGAACAGATTTGAATTAAATTAAATTTTAACATATTTTATTATGCTGGCAAAGCCACTATATACAGTTAAACTGTATATATTGACTTTTCCATACAAGACGATCATGCAAAAAATTACAAGCAGATAAGTACCTTTTGACATAGGTAGGCACTAAGACACAACCGACAGGTTATGACACAAAATACGTTCCTTCAAAATCTTCTAATCCTATACCTGCCTGTAATGGCAAGACTGGTATTACAAAGAATGTACCTACTGCTTATAATTTTCGGCATTATCTCGCGGCGCAGGAATTGTCGCAAATAATCCGATTACGGTGAGTTCGCATTGTGGGAATTAAAAATGAGATATGCCGCTGTACAGACGCAGTGAAATAATAACGCTCCTATGCTTATATCGTCAAATATGAATCTCGAGACATTAGACGTGTGCTTTATGATTTTCTCCTCTTATTTATGTACTCCCGTCCTTTCTTTTATTCATATGATGGAGCTGTTATGGGCGTTATCACGCCTCCAATAGACTTTACGTAGAAACGACTGCAAATAATACAAAACAGATGATTGTTTGGTTAACTAAATAAATAATAACGTGTGTCAAATAAGTATGTGTAAGTATGTCTTAATTGCTTTTTAGCATCCTCTACCAGCTAACCGTAACTTTTTTTATGCTACTTAAAATGGCAAACAAGCTGACGGCTCACCTGATGGAAAATAGTAAACGTCGCTTATAAACATGAACATTACCATAGACATAACAGAATATATTTTGTCGTCCATAATATCCTTCATGCGTTGCCATTTTTGAGGATAATTGCACGTAAAAGAAGAAAAACCATTGATAGCCAAGGATAAGAAAATGCTATAACATATTAACATAACTATAAGCACAGATAATACATAAAAATACATCTTTTAATAATACAACTTTTAATAATACCATAAGAAACGTTCCTAAGCCAATCAACAATTTTAAAGCCATAGCATCATCGTACTCTTCATTTCGCTTCGGGATCGCCACACCTTTCTATCTCATCGGATATCAATTGTTCAAGCTTTATGGCCAGTCTATAACCACTTAAATTGATTACCGTAAGGAATCTGCTGTAAAGATAGATCATTACCAATTTGGAGAACTGTAATAATCATTACATTGAAACATTTGTTTGCATACTTTTATATAAATAAACCAAAATTAGAACCCGTTAATAGATGAATGGATAATCATTACTACTTCTAAATCTTTCTTTTAAACATCTACAAAACCCCATAATAGTAAATTAATGGATGTTAAAGGCTATAATCGCATAAATACTATAGCAGCATATCCACTCTGTTTTTTTTTACAAAACAACTACATAATAATACTTCTTTCAGATCGTCACAGAAGATCTGGTTCCCTGGACGAAGCTGCGGAGGATAGTAGCGACAACGGAGGTAGTACACCAAAAAAGAAAACGGTTATCGAGGAGCAATGGGAAAGATCAGGTGGCTTCGAGCTCACCTCCGTGGAACAAGAGACTTACGAGAAGTATTTCTACGGAACGGAGCATTGGAATTATTTCACCAACGATGAAGACCTGGGTCCTGTTATATTGTCCATCAAACAAGAGACGCTTAATGCCAGGGATCAATTCAGGTATGTTGTTAGAGATTGTTAATGTTGGAAATAGATTCAATATGTCAGTGTATTTACGAAGTATGAATGCAATATATCAACATGGTTATGAGAGGCAGATTAAATATCGCAGTCTAATATAAAGCACATTAGACTGCGACCAAAGAAGGAACCTGTGGCAATACTATATAATGACGATTGACCATCAAGATTATAGTAGATACAACTATAGTAGTACCTATATCTCTCATACTGAGACCTGTTCTCTGTAGTCTGAACTCTCTGTTCTGAGTAGAAAGTATGTTGGGATATATGTACCGTGATTTATGTCTTTAGGTAGTAATACTACTTTCTATTAGATAAACTATCAGTTTGCTTGTCTTTTACATCAGTATCTCTTTTTAACCTGTTGTCGAATAGCTATGCTCGTTTAGCTGTTTCGATTTATAAGTTGAGATATAGTTATGTCAAACTCCATAAGCATATGCATTGTCAAAACTAAGCATTTCGTTTTTTTTTTATGCAACTTAGAATGGCAAACAAGCTGACGGTCCACCTGATGGAAAGTGATAATCATTGCCTATAGACATATATATGTATATATATATATATATATATATATATATATATATATATATATATATATATATATATATATATATATATATATATATATATAAGATAAAACCATTATATTAAAATAAACGTCATAGTAAATTCTAGTGTAAACAACTAGGTACCATAAATCAAATATATACTACCAATGATGTACAATAAAACCACTACCTCGGTAAGAATGATAGGGAATTTTAATCGTCTCATAAGGCAAGTTATCAAATACAAGAAAATCTTAGTAGCAAACAACGTTATCTACTATATGATTACAAAACTAAAATTTCTATATGAAAATACGTTTCTTAAACAAATAAAATCCAAAAAGATCTTTTCATTATCAAAGATCCATGCATAAAAAATGTTTCTCGTACATTATTATGACAGTAGGTTACAACTCCTTATAAAGTTCCATAGCAATCGTAACTTATACTGAAAAAGTTATGATGTTCTGAATTCGTGACATATGAACTTCTGGGAAGAGGGACATTAAAAATTTATATGGTTTCTGTTTTTTCCACTTTACTATGAAACTCCAAAAGGAACTATTCTTCTTCGCTCCTATATATTTTATTACATATTATTAGCTATATCCCACGTCTTTGCCCATGTGAAGCAAAAGCCTATCCTGATCCTATGTTCTAAATTAGAATATAACCTACCTTTACAACAAATTTTATTCAAATCCATTCAATAGTTTTTGCATGAATGATTAATAAACATCCATCTGTCCATTCATCGTTACAAACTTATGCATTTATTATGTAAATAGAATATACTTGATTCTTTTAAACGTCGAGCCAAAAAGCTCATAGGAGACGATTTGATGCTACGAATACATTCCAAATTTTATAACCATGCGTACAGCCAAAAAGTAGAACTCTTTCCCTGCTTTTGTTTTTCCATCCTAATATAATCTGCACCAATTTAAGACAAATGTGAACAGGCCATTCATAAGCCCTCGAGCCACATCTTAGACTACATCTTTCAGCTTTCTATCAGGTATGATCGTGATCAATAAAAAAATAAACATAATCATTAATTATAATTTATGAGAACGGAGCCAGAGACTTTATCCGTGAGTACGTTCATTGACAGAGGTGAAGAGTAGCCTACAACCTATCTCTATCCCAAATAATATGTGAGTATCAAATTTAATGACCATTGTTTTTTTAATGAATGATAATGGAATGGTAATCCCGCCTGCACTAACGGTATACGCTGGCGGAACACCAGTGAGGTATGACAGGTGAAAATGAAAAAGCAGGTCAGTTAGCCCCTCCTGATGAATACATCTGTAATTCAGCACGATGGTTTCCAGGAGAAAACGAGTGGAGGTCGACCTGATAGGGTATATTGCTAGCAATGGGACTGGTAGCCGCATTACTAACAATCCCTTCCCCTCCGAATGACCATTGGTTGAACCGCTAAAGCGCCAAGAGGTAACAAACAAACCTTCTCTCTTTCACATCTTATCTTACTAATATAATAAAATTGTAACTAAGCAATGTCAATCAATGTGCATGAAAGATATTTATGAAAAATTAATATGACGAGTCTTAATAAGACCTTTAAATGTCAAAAGATATCTTTTACTAATAGAAACCAGAACTATTATTATTAGTAATTTTGACTATCTTCTGTCTTACTCTATGTTTATTCCAGCGTACCGTAAAAACTACTGCAAGCTAGTTTACATTATTCATAATGATTAAGAAAGGATAATCGACTAATTTAATCCGGCACTTCCAGTTACCAGTAAATCGCTTTACTTCACCTTTATTGGTTATAATATTTATCTAATTGTACGAAAGATACAATCGATGAGACATTTAGGCATTTCGAAGTATTGACTTCCCTGGAATGTACCCAATCTCATCTCACAAGAGAGCAGTTTAGAACGGGATTAAATTTATGGAATTTAATTAAATAGAATATTAAATTAACGGTAGGTATACTGACGCTTTATACTACTACTGCGCGGTTATGCAAAGTATGAAATTCCTTCAAAGGTGAGTTGTAATAACATTTTACTGTGAAAAGTGGAAAAATTTATTTATAAAAAGATCAGTAAATAGTTGTGATATTGAAAAATAATAATGAGTATTTATATTTCTTAAGTTACGATCTTAAGTTACCTAGTATGGTCCTGTCATAGAATTGGTCATCCTTTTCTTTCCCATGGGTGTAAGGGAATTTAATGGTCGAGTGATAGGCAGCAGCGCCCCTTTTAAAACATCACTAAACTTAACTGTAGTTGCTAACCTGCTCGCCTTTAATATAATTATTTACCGACGAATAATATAAAAAAAGGTTTTAGGTATTTGTAATAATATTTTTTTTTCTATTATAATTTTGTACATACAGTTCTTCAATGTACCCATCGATTGACATATGAGTTTCCTATAAACTTTTTCACTACATAAAACCAAATTAGACCTGTTTTATATTCGGTATATAAGTCGACAAAGCGCGCGTGACAATCCTGGTGTTAGAAGCGTCCATAATCTACGGTAACCCCATTTACTACCAAACGGGTCGTATACTTGGTTGCCACTACAGTATATATAAAAAAACCTATACGTTTCTTAAAAAAACAATTAAAAACAAAATTAAATTATGATAGTTCAGTAAACTTAAAATAATCTAAATAAATATATCCTTTGCATAATTTGCTGTTGCTGTGATCCACAGTTGCTTTAGCAAAAACCCTGGAGAGCGTTTACAGTGGCATACTTGTATGCACACAGATGCAACTTCATCTAATTATAAACAAGTACCTACCTACTTTAAATACGATAATAGATTTGATATCTCATAGACATATCATTACATATTAGATTAGTGATTGTATTATCATACAATTTCACTGATAAAAAATAGCCTTTCCTAACGGTAACAATAACCATGACTTGGTTATCCAATTGCTGGCGACATTTTAGATACGGGCATAAAAACGTTCAATTTAATAAATTATCACCGATCCAATGAAAACCCTTCCTCGGTAAACAACGTTTAACAATTTATTTGTTTATACTTTTGCTTACATTAAAATATGCCTAGAAAGCGAACTTAATGCTTGATAGCGTTCTCTACCAGTCAACCGTTACGCTAAACAGAGTGAGTAAATGTGCGGTGCATTGGTCCAACAAAATCAATTTGTAAATGAAATAAATATTTTAATAGATAACAACATTAATACGTTTTAAGATGAATGAACATACATACATATAGAATAATATTATACATACATAAATCACATACAATTTATATATAAATATCTATGAGTAAACATATTCATATAATAACAACATATGCAAATACATTTTTTTTAAACAACTTAGAATGGCAAACAAGCTAATGGCCTGATGGAAAGTGGTAACCTTCGCCTATAGACGTGAACAGTACCATGGACATAACAGAGTATACTGTTTCGCCCATGATACCCCCTATGCGTTGCCATTCCTGAGGACTCAGGTATTATTCCTCTGTACCCTGTAAATTCACGCCATATCCCACCCTTCAAACCGAAACACAGCCATGCAAACACAACTGCTTCACGGTAGAAACACGAATGGGACAGAGGTACCCAAGCAATCGACTTTTGTACAGTCTCCCTCTGGTTTATTATTGATATTAAAATATAAAATATCCTCATATGTTGGAAATACATGAATATTATATACTTATATACTTTCACTCCAGTGTTAACAATATAAATATTGTATTAATTCAATTCCTACCCTGTTTATTTTGTAAAATACCCTCGATATCTTTAATTAAAATCGTAATCTCTAATTAAAAATTAAATTTGAGAGTGAAGTGTGTAAGCCCAGTGTTCAATCTTGCCGGTGACACTGGGGGCCAGAAAAAGGGTGCAGCATGAATTAAAAATAGCAAGCCGTTGTTAACGGGAGGGTTATGAAATGTTTACAGGTGGCATAATTGACTGGCCAGTAATGGGAGCGACTGCACAACACACTCGTAAACAACTGAATTCAATTAGCTTAATGCACCGTTTCTCAACCTAGGGTTCGTGACCTGAAGAGACTCTCGATGTGTACAGTAAACAAAATGTGTATACGAAATATGCTTTTATTTAAATATTTAATTAAAAAATATATCAGAAAATTACTTATTATACGAGTAGGTATAAAATAAAATAAAGTCTACTTAACATTTTAACGAACATTTGAATTTAATGTGGTGGTTTTCTTTTTCTTAAAAGATTTTTAAGGCTTTTTTTTTTATTGGTAATCGATAACAGAAAATTTCTATAGTCAAAAAATTTACTAATAGTCAAAATGTGAATAAAAGGTGAAAAATAATTATATCTAATAAAGAGGTTGCTATATTTTTATTTCCTGATATTTTTTTAGCTACTTTGTAGGTCACAATGCTAAAGAAGG